CAACAAACTTTCAATGTCAGTCAAACTCAGAATACTTAACTGTTATGTGTTTTCCATTCTCACATATGTTGGACAATCTCGCAAAGCATGGAGAAACGGTTGGAAGCCGCCCGATAAAGGGGTGGCGCAGGAGAATGAGGAGAAAGCGTGGGACAGAGAGAAACACTAAATACAGCAGTGCTGGGAGAGGGCAGGAGCAAAGAGAGGTGTTGAACAGGCAGCAGAACGACATAACTAGAATGGCGCGGGCACGTAATGCGGAAAGAGCAGCTAGAACAGCTTAGTGTAACAGGGCAAGAGCAATGGGAAATAGACGAAGCAGAACAAACGGGAGACAAAGACTAACAGAGACAGAAATGCAGAAGAAGGGACGAAGAGTAGCGGTAGCAGGACCTTTGAAAAACAGCAAAGGACCGGAAGAGGGGGAAGCCCATGAGCGCCACGTCCTGCGGGACAAGGGCATAGAGATAGAGAGGATAGAGAGATATAGAGAAGCGATAAGAGAGAGATAGATGAGTGATAGAGATCAGAGAGAGATCGAGAGAGATAGAGAATAAGAGAGATAGAGAGATGGGGAGAGAGAATCTAGAGATAGGGAAGATAGAGAGATAGAGAGGAGAATAGAGAGAGAGAGATAGATAGATAGACAATAGAGATAGTATAGAGGTGAGAGGGATGTAATCGGTATAGTTAATATATATATATAGAGATATATAGAGTATATACATGAGATGATATCTATAGTTATATAATTTCTATATAATAGATATATATATATAGATATAGCGATAGATAATATATAGTATATATAATATATACGCACAACACCACACACACACATCTGATATATAGAGATGATAGATGATATGATAGATGTGGATAGATAGATATATATTATATAGATATATATAGAGATAGATAGTGATGGAATATATACATAGATTAGAATCATAGAGAGAGAGAGAGATACAGGATATATATAGAGATAGAGAGATATATAGATGAGATAGATCGAGAGATAGAGACTGAGATAGAGCTATAGAGGGTATGATATAATCGATATAGATAGGAGAGAGATATAGAATATAGATAGAGAGTATTATAGATTATGTATATATATACATATATATACTGATAGATTATGAAGTATATAGATATATATATATAGATATAGAGTATAGATAGATATATATATAGGTATGATATATATATATATAATAGATATATATATATAAGATAGATAGATATAGATAGTAGAATATATATATAGATAGATATATATGTTATATCGAGCCATATAGATGATAATATAGTAGTATAATAGATATATATATATTTATATATATTATATATAGATATATATATATAATGTGTGTGGTGTGTAGATGTAGATATATAATTATATATATATTATATATATTAGAGAGAGATAAATATATAGATATATAGATAGTAGACATATAGATAGAGGGAGAGAATACATATACCACACACACCCACACAGATGAATTATCCTATCCTCTCTACTAGAGCATATGATATATATACTATATATATATATATAGATATAAGAGAGGTAACATATACATATATATATATATATATATATATATAATATATATATATATATATATCATCTATATATATACATATATTATATATTATCGTATATAATATATATATATATATATATATCATAGATAGTATAATATTTATCTATATATATATATATGTGGTGGTGTGTGTGTTGGATTATATATATACATATAATATATGTATATATATATATCTATATATATATATAATATATATATATATATTATATATATATATTAATATATATATATGTATATATATACATATACACAACACACACCCTACACACACAATATTATTATATATATATATATATTATAAGAGATATATCGCATATTCGATAGATATATATATATATATATATATATGTATGATAGATAGTATATATATATAGATATATATATATATATGTACCATATATATATCGAAGAGAATAGAGATATATTATATATATTAGATATGATAGATGATAGAGATATATTTTATATATAATATATATATATATATGCATACATTAGATTATCGATATATATATATATATATATATATAGATATATAGATATATGATATAGAGAGATGTATATAGATAGATAGATTATATGGATATGATATATATACAGATAAGATGATAATATAGCAATAGATAGAGATATCATAGATATATATATAGGTCTATTATATGATATATATAGATATGTATATATATAATATATATGTACGTCTTATATATATATATATATATATAATATTTTATATATATATGAGATAGACATATATATATATATATTATATTATATATATGCATACATTTATATATATATAGATAGAGATGATCTAGAGATAGATAGATAAGGTATTATCGATAGAAATATAGATAGTAGATATATAGAGATATATATATAGAGATGAGAGTATAAGATATATAGATATATGTAGAGATAAGGAGAGAGTGGTATAAAATAGATATAATAGAGATATAGATAGTATTAGATATATTATATATGATATAGAGAGATATAGAGAGATATGGTATAGAGACAGATAGATGATAGATATATATAGATTATATATATAGATAGATAGAGATTATAGATATAGAAAGATAGATAGAGAGAGAGTATTATAGATAGATGAGATGATAAGATGAGAGATAGTTTAGATATATTATATTATAGAGATATGAGATATATAGTATGCAAGTATATAGATAGATAGAATATATGAGATATATATGTATAGAGGATATCTATCTATATAGATATATGATATATATAGATGTATAGATATATGATATATTAATATATATAATATTATAGTATGGATAGAATAGATATATAATATATAGAGGATATATATATATAATATATATAACTATATATATATATATATATACATATATATATATATATATATATTATATAATATATATAATATATATGTATATATATACAGATATATAATATATATATATATATATATATAATATATATATACTATATATATATATATCTATATAATATATATATATAGGTGTGTGGGGTATATGTATATATTACATATATATATATGTATATATATATATAATAATATAATATAAGATATATATATATATATATATAAATATTTATATATATATATATATATAATAATATATAGTATATAATATTATATATATATACCACAACAACACACACACACACAACACACGACACACTATATATATATATATGATAGATATATATATATATATATATATATATATATATAATATATATATATATAATATTATTATATATTATATGTGTGGGTGTGTTCGTGGGGGTGTGTGTGTGTGTGTGTGTGTGTGTGGTGTGTGTGTATATATAATATATATATATATATAGTATGATATAGTAAGTATATATCATATATATAGAGATTATATATGTATTATATACAGATATAGATAGATATTATATATATATAGATATATATATATATATATATATATATATATATGTGTGTGTGTGTGTGTGTGTGGTGTGTGTGTGTGTGTGTGTGTGGGTGTGTGTGTGTGTGTGTGGTGTGTGGTGTGGTGGTGTGTGTGTCGGGTACATATACATACATACAAACAAAGCATCTTCTATCAGCTATTTTCTGTCTATTTATGAGTCTTTATCTATTGGTA